TTTATTTTTGCTTTGAGGGGGTATACTGTGGTATTAACATAATAAAGATCCTTAAAACTGAAATTTAAAAAATGTAAGGATGTGCCATATAATTCCTGAATCTGATATTACATTTTGATTCAAAGTATTTTAGCAACTATATCAATAAGTTTATTAGGGGGCTTTATTTACATTTGCTTTGAATATTTAAAAAAATGAGGATAATGGCCAGCAAAGGATATCTTTTAGAATTACCTTTATGCAGAAAGACATGCTATTAATTAGCAGATGTGGTTATTATTGTTGTTGCTGTTATATTTATTAATAGTAATATTCTTATTAAACCTTCCTCAAAGCTACTGAAGGTATGACTGGGGATAGAATTCTTTTTCAATGTCCCCCAATCATTCATAATATAGATGAAAAAAGGCTGTAAAAGAAAGACAGGAAGTTTGCAGAATAACAGGAAACCTCAAGCTTGGTTAGTGGGGCTATGAAACCCCACCAAGGTTGAGAAAGGCAGCAATGCCCCATCTAACGTTACCCAGGTGGTGCTAGGCTGGATTTCATGCTTCCCCACCACAAACTTTGTAAACTGTCAGTGGAAAAAGTCAGCTCTTGTTCTTTGTCTTTGAATCTAATCTATCTAGTTTGTAGATTAAGAAATATTATGGTCACTTCAAATCTAGGCACGAAGAAGTAAGCCAATTGGCTAGTCAATACTGTCATGGGATTCTTTCTATTATGTTAAGAAAGGAGAATCACTTCTGCTTTGCCTGTTTTCTGTTTTGATATTGTATCTCAGTGCAGTCTCCGCCAAGTGTTGCCTTATGACATGCCTGGTCATTACTGGTTCTAATCTATTAGTCCTCCTGGGGCAAATTATTATTTTGTTCAGGCACACAGTTTTGTAACTGGGAATGCATGTTTCTTTAGTAAAACCATTTTATTGTGGGACAGAGTACATCATGGTGAAATCCAATTTTTTTTACTACCCGTTCTGTAGGTGTGGCTTGGTGGGCGTGGTGTGGCTTGGTGAGCGTGGCAGGGGAAGGATACTGCAAAATCTCCATTCCCATCCCACTCTGGGGCCAGCCAGAGGTGGTATTTGCTGGTTCTCTGAACTATTCAAAATTTCCGCTACCAGTTCTCCAGAACCTGTCAGAACCTGCTGGATTTCACCTCTGGAGTACATCCTTGGAAACTCTTGAGATCAACAAAACAAAAATCTTACAGAAATTATCTCTGTGAGCTTTCTTTTCATTTTATAGATAGAACAACTTTATTTGGGGCAATATTTAATTCATCTAATCAGTGACATATATGTTTGCTAAGTTATAAAAGTAATAAATGATGTAGATGAGGGAACTAAAGGGCACTCATCAAATTTGTGGATGACACTAAGATTGGGGGAATTGCTAAGACTTTGGAAGATAGATTTTAAGGGTCTTGACAGAAGTGAGCATTGGGCCCTATCCAGCAAGGTGCAGTTCAGTGGTTGAAAAAAAAGTTAGATCCTGCACTTAGGCAGGAAAAAAACTAATGCACAGGTACAGAATAGGCAGTACCTGGCTCAACAGTAGAACCTGTGAGAGGGCTCTAGGTGTCCTAGTGGATCACTACTTAACTATGAGCCCGCAGTGTGCTGCAGCTGTCAAAAAAAGCCAACATAGTCCTAGGCTGCATCAACAGAGGGATAGCATCAAGATCACGAGAAGTGACAGTACTGCTTTATGGTGTGCACTAATAAGGCAACACTTGGAATACTGCCTCCACCATAATACATAAAAAGATGCTGAGGCCCTAGAAAGAGTGCAAAGAAAAGCCACAAAGATGATAATGGATCTGGAGACTAAACCATGATGATGAACATCTAAGGATACTATGTTTGTACTGTATAACCTAATGAAGAGAAGCCTTAGGAGTGACATGACAGCTATCTTCCAATATTTGAAAGGGTGTTACAGGGAAGAGGGGTTTAATTTATTCTACAAAACACTTGAAGTCATGATAAGAAGCAATGGGTGAAAGCTCATCAGAGGGAGATCCAACCTGGAACTAAGGATAAATTTCCTAATAGTGAGGACAATTAATCTATGGAACAGCTTGCCTCCCAGAGTTATGAGTGTTCCATCGTTGGAGGTTTTCAAGAAAAGATTGGACAATCATTTAGATGGGATAGAATAATGACTTCTGCTTTGGTTAGTGGGTGGACTAGAAGACCTCCAAAGTGTCTTCCTATCCTATGATGCTATGATTTTAAAACCAAGTATCTGATTTCTCCTGGCCACAGAGGTGGGCTCTAGGATCCTGGTGGGAGGAGCACATTTCTGTAGCCTCAATCAGTCTCTAGAAGCTCTGCAGATACAAGTTTTGGCTATTTTATTATCAAGATGTATGATAGACAATATGTACATTAAAACAAGTTGAGAGAACATGGAAAAATATTTTAAAATAAATAATAACAGAATAAATAATAACCAATGTGGTCTACCTCCATGATGGGCTGGGAGGTAACACAGCCTGCATCATGAGAACGTGTCCAAGAACGTATCCAAGCTGTAATGGCAATCAGACAGTTTTTGTACATATGTCATAAGATCCACATATGTTGCAGTTGACAGTCTAGCAGCTACATTTACCTCAACTGCAACTTCTGCACAAGACAGCCAAAATATCTAACATCTTCACAAAATCTGGCAATCTTGGGTTAATTATTTTCTCCAAAATCATAATTTCTCCTGAATACATGACACGGAGGATTTGCCTCAGGCTGCTTTAAAACTAGTCCTACAATTTTCCAGATATCATTTATTTATTAATTAAATGTATTTATTTATTAAATTTATGTGTCTCCCATCTCAAAGTTGGAGCAACTCTGGGTGGCTTTAGGTTTAGACCACAACTCTAAGAATTATACAGGTGTTACTGTTGAATTAATTTGAGAAAAGTGTCATTCTTAGGTATTTCATTTCCTTTTTCCTTTGTAGAATCATCAGTTTATCTTCCATTGGATTTGAAGTTATCAACTTGATACTAAATACAGTAAAGTCATGCATGGTATTAGTAATAACAAATTAGCTTGCTTTTGATAAAAGCCAATGACCCCACCTGAATATATTAATATACCATATATTTGAGGTGAGGAGTGCCTCTCCTAATAGTCCAATGACTCGTGTAGAATTTTTCTTAATTGTTTCGTCTTCCAGATGATCCACAAAATCAATAAACTGTAATAAATACATTGAAGCCAACTCCTTAAAAGTAAGCAAACAATTCCATTTGGACTTATTTGGTGTTCTCTTCATCATCGGTTGGACTATTGTAATGCTCTCTACATGGGGCTCCCCTTGAAGAGCACTCGGAGGCTCCAACTGGTCCAGAATGCGGCCGCGCGGGTGGTTATGGGCGCAACTCATTGTGCCCATGTGACACCCCTCCTGCGCGAGCTGCACTGGCTCCCAGTGGTCTTCCGGGTGCGATTCAAGGTGTTAGTTACCACCTTTAAAGCACTCCATGGCATAGGACCCGGGTACCTCCGAGACCGTCTTCTGCCACCAATAGCCTCCCACCGACCAGTCCGTTCCCACAGAGAGGGTCTCCTCAGGGTGCCGTCAACCAAGTTATGTCGACTGGCGGCGCCCAGGGGGAGGGCCTTCTCTGTGGGAGCCCCAGCCCTGTGGAACGAACTGCCCCCGGAAATTCGTAAGATCTCCGACCTCCGGGCGTTTCGCTGCGCACTGAAGACCCTATTATTCCGCCAGGCCGGACTAGCAACACAATAGTTTTTAAATTGGGATATTTAAATTTATTGGGGTTTTAAATCTGAGCCACTTTATTTAATTATTTTAAATTTTATATTGTTGTTTTGTTTGTGTTTTTAAACAGGCTGTACACCGCCCTGAGTCCTTCAGGAGAAGGGCGGTATAGAAATAAAATTATTATTATTATTATTATTATTATTATTATTATTATTATTATTATTATTATTATTATTATTATTATTATCATCCTTATGTGATGTCTTGTTGAGTCAAGGGCAGAGCCTTATGAATCTGTTCCCTCCCAAAAATCTGGCAATATTCTCTCAGGCTTTTTACTTGCCATTGCCTTTTGCTCACTTGCTGCCTTTTAAGGCTGCAAAATTCCATTTAAACAATATTGTGCTCTCCTCTTGCCTCCTGCTTATCATCTCATCTCTCTTCAAGTTCCAAAACATACAGTAAGTAGTGTACTGATTCTCCCTCTTGTTAACATATATCGGTAGTTAGTAGTTGAGCCAGAGAAGACAATTCAATGCAGGTTGGGCATACTTTCCTGCTGTTTCAATGGTTAAATGTGGAGGAAAGCTCTTGAACACAGCTGAATGGAAACCCACTAAATAATGTGCATTCTAATATAAGTATTATTGCTTATTGATGAAAGTTCTAACATTGTAGAAATTTGCTGATTGTTCTCCAGTACCTTTCCAAAAGCAATGGAAGTGACTGATCAGATGACATATTATTGTTATTTACATAACGTGCAAGGTGGTTTATGTTTGAACTGAAATTTTCCATAACTTTAAGAGCACGTGATTTTACATCTCATTATTACAGTAAGAAAAAACTAGAAATGTAGATACAACTGATTGTATCCAAATTGCCTCAAAATGTTTCCTTTTGGTTCCCCAACATGTTTCAAACAAGGGCTCAGTCTGCAATACTTTCCAAGGCCTTATTTTTACAATCTGCCAATGAACGTGGAAAAAGAATTTGAACCTGGAAACAACACAAAATGTGTCAGACAATTATTTTAAAAAAATAATTATAACTACATTTAAAAATCCTTGAATGCGTAAACATTTCAGAAAAACCATTGGGAATTATATATTCCTTTTGCTCTTAAATAAAATCTGTTGCAATATTTTTAAAAAAACAATGGTTAACCTAATTTATCTAGAATTAAGTTAAAATAGGAGCACTCCATCAATGTGCTCTCAAAATAAGTTAGTTTGATATGGAGGAAAAACATTAAACAAATTATCTCTTATATGCTTTTTTTCTTTATTATCTGCAGGAAGAAAAAAATATCTACTTTAGGGTACAATCCAGCCCTGTCTCATATTTTTATATTCTCTGTTAAAGTTTACAACAATACGTACTTAATGGAACTTAAGAAGTTATATGCTTCTGTATCAAATGTGAAATATTTTCTCCTATATTCAGTCTTGTTCTGGGTAGAAGCATTTTTTAAATATAAATGATACTCTAAATCATATTGGAGAATTTCTTCAATTTCTTCCCTAATGATTTCCATCTCCTTCACTCATTATTTCTGAAGTAGCAACTTTAAAAATAGCCAGTAAATAAAACATTAAAAAAACTGTGTCAAGCTTCAAGCAACAATAAACAGAAAGTTAATTAGAATCCCAAGACAGATTCATTCCATAGCATGTCCTCTTCTGTAGTTCCACTGATTTCATGTTTCTTTCTCTCCTTCTTGTGTCTTTTGCTTTTCTTTTCAGAAGAACCCTCTTTACTTCCCTTTACTTTACTGTGCTTTGATTTTGACCCAGCTATTGAATCTATATGATTTTTTTTCTTTTTCTTCTTACCATCTTTTTCCAAATCTGTATCTTGATTGTCTCCTGCTCTTTTAAGAGTTGAACGATCTCCTTCTCCCTCTTGTGGCCGTTCTTTTTTGGCTCTCGATTTCTTTGGCAGCTTACGGCTTCCCTTGTCAGCATTAGAGCTATTCTTTGAAAACAAAGACTTGTAGCTATTAGTAGATTCGGCCGATAGTTGTTTATAGCTGTCATTTCTGTAGATAGTCAACTGAGGCACTTGCTTTTCAGAATCACTGTCTGTACTGTACGTACATACATTTTTTAGCTTTACTGGGTATTTTTGCACTGGTGGGTGTGGTGATCTGCTTCCAACTGAATATGAAAATGTGTCCATTTCTGGAAAAAAGGTGGAATGCTGATTTGGTTCATAAACATTTCTTGAAAGAAAACCTTGGTCAGATGCAAAGGTCTCCTCATGACCATTAATAGCTTCACACATTTTTTGCTCAGAGTTTCTAAAATTAATGTTTGGTTCCAGTCCTCTTGCTTTTTGTACTTTGATGTAGTCTGCCAATTCATCTTGGAATGAACTGTTTGTATTATTGGAATTCTTCATCAAAGAAGTGGCAATCATATTTTCTCTAAAACAAATAATAAATAAAGTATGAGGATGTTTTAATGGTTTTAATGCTTCCTTAGTATCATTAACCTCACTTGCTCATGTAGTACAATTCTATAATAGGAATTAGTTCTTCACCTTTCCTAATTTAGTGCCCTTTAGATAAGTTATCTGTTAATTTTAGAAATCTAACCTTTATTATTTTTACAAATTACTCAAGCTGGCAAAAAACATCCATTACACCTTCCCCCTCCTCCTTTCTTCATCTCTTTGAGGTGAGCTGGACTGAGAGAGAAAATGACCTGTCAGCTGGCTTTCATGGATAAGATGGGACTTGAGCTCACATTCTTCTGCTTTCTAGCCTGGCTTTTTAACCACTAGACCAAACTGGCTCTCTATATGCTGTACTATATGCTAGATGGAAAGTTTGGGAGTAATTGTCTATCATATGCTTGAATAGAAATCAACTTCTGGTGATTTCAAGGACATGTAAAAAGTGTGTAGCTTTCCTGGCAATAGTATCAGTCTGTTATTGCCTTCTTCCTTGATGGTTTCCCTTCCCCAATATTAATCAAGCCTGATCATGTGTAGCTTAATTTTTCAAGATATTGAAAAATGAATCTTTAGCTTTACAGAACATTCATACCTCTAGAAATAAGCTATTTACCTGACTATGGGAGATACATTTCCTGCATTTATGTTTTTTAAATGTACAAACACAAATGCACACACACACTCTTCCAGCATTCATTTATTTGAATTTATTAGATGTTCAATTTCAATGGACTCTTGGGCAATTTTTCCTATTGCCTTTGTTATATTTATTATTTTGGACAACTGTAAGCCAAGCTGATTGTTTTGCCTCACAAATGTGTCCATTGTGAGACTCTTACTGCATCATGAGTGGAGGGTAGGTCTGAGTATCAGCTATATAAAATAGCTGACTATCAGCTATAGAAAATATCAAGAAAGGGTATACATGTGCCCTGCAAACCTCCAAATATTATTGCACTACATCACAGTTAGTGATAAGAGTTCTACTCCAAAATATTTAGAGACCCAGAGATTTCTCACCTGAGTTACCCTTTGAAGAGCAAAGGAAAAAAAATTCCTTAGAAAACATTTTTCCTAATGTTAGTGGTATGGAAAATGTGCTATGGAAAAAAAAAAAACTCAACAGAAAATCAGTTGCGTCCAGCCTTCAAGGCAAAGAAGAAACCTAATAAATTAACTAATAAAGTTAATTTGCAGTGAACTTTGTTCACATTCTTTCTCTGCAATTCTAACCATCAATTTTTGTTTTGCTCAGTACTCATACTGTATTCCTGAAGTCTCAGCACAGCTCTTCAATCACCGATGGAGGGCCAGGAAAACACTTACTTAACCTGATGTTTAATTCCTTGCATGTGTGACTGGTACATCTCTATGGATGTGAGGCTGATATTGCATGTTGTGCATACATAGTTGCCCACGCCAAGTGCTGCAAAAAAAAAGAAAAAAAAAGAGCTATAGGTTAAAGAAAAAGCAGTAAAAATGATGCCCTTTCTCCCAAACAACAGACATCTTATGGGAAATCTTTGTAAACTTGTTCTACCATGGGCCATGATATAGACTCAGAATCTAATTCTGACAATGCTGCTCCAGATAAGCTTGTGCATTGCAACTTCAGGAATCATCAAGTCATGATGCATCTGAGGCTGATCAATGATAGGCACCTCCTGATCAGCTGGAGCAGTCAGATGATGAGGCATGACACCCAAGCCCAGATTTTCATACATGCAACGGCAAGCAGAGCAATGCAACTCCCATGAGGCTTCTCACTGGGCCTACAAGGCCTAAGTAATTGTAGTCAACTGCTTGCAGATAGATTTATGTAGCTGCTTTTCCTTCAGTCTTCATTCTTTTCAAAATTCAAGCTTGTGATTCTTGTTCCTATGTTTCCCTGTTTTTTAATCTTTAAATTCCTGGATTTCCTGATTTGGCTTTTTGACTTCTGGAATGAATTTGGACCATTCTCTTGATATTTGAACTCCAAATGGAAATATTCAGACAAGCATTCTTTGCAAAGACCTTGATTCATGATCTTATCTATTATTATCTGCCTGGCTGTAATAAAAAAATATTTAGCAACTTTGTCTGCTTTGGTGTGTCTGAAAATGCGACTGTCATGATCAAATTGTTATTGTAATAGAAATCTCTGACTGAAGGTAGGCAACAATATCCTGGATTTTAAGAAAAGTACAAATGGCCAAAGCAAGTAAGGAATTCCCTTCACCAGGGTCACTACGCTCTGAAAAGAAGATGACTAACTAGGGCGAGCATATGGAAGGAAAAGGATGATGGTATACCTTGGTTCTGAACCGTGCTCACCTGATATAAAGGGGAATATTCATTTTGATGCTGCTTACCATTGGGTTTGGACTCCAGGGGGATAGCCTGAGTTCCAATCTCAGCTACCAATTTCTTACGTAATTCATTTCTTTTGTGCTTTTTGCCTACATAGTGTTGATGGGCCATAAACGAGTTATTGAAGGGTGCAGAGCAGAGTTTGCAATATTTATCTGGATCATCAAAATCCAAAGCAGTTCTACAGGATGAATATAGGTCCTCAGAATCAACATCCTGTTGCAAGTTCTTTTCGAGAGATGCCTCTGGCAGAATTGGAATTGCAGAGGAATCTGTGAAAAAGGGCCATGCAGAAAGATTAGTCTCCTTGTGGAAAACAATCAGAACAAAAAGTGTCAACCTGTCAGAATTGGAAATAGACTTTTTAAGGAACCATTAGACTGCCTTTAAGAAAATATAGCTATCTTTTTATGTCTGTAAATTATTCTGGTAAATTACTGATTCTTTCCTATCTCACTGCACTGTTATGAAATTACAAGGGGAAAAGAAAGAAGAGAAATATGTAAGAGTAACAAAATAAAGACATTTAATGTGCTTTGTTCTTCAACTGCATTGATACTATGATTAAAGCAATCCATGCTTCATCTAAAGTAGCTTACAAAAAAGAGAATGCATTAATTATTAGATCTTTACCATGTTCTGACTGAACATCCTGTATGGGCTGAGTCTGATCTGACAACTGCTTCAGTTTCTTGGCATGAATCTTTCCCAAATAGTGTGATTGAGCAACAACTGGAGATGTGAAGACCATGTTGCAAAGTTTGCAATACATATTTTTGTCCATATTTGGATTCTCCTGAAATCAAAGTGGAAAGTTATTTAATTCATTATAATAATAAACATTGGCTGAACTTTTAGGATGTCAAATTTTGCTTTGGGTAAGAATCTAAAATAAAGCATCTCTGGATAATTTGGTTAACCAGCTTCTGCTTGAAGACACTCAACAAAGTTAGGCACCAGTTCTATTTGTCCACAGATAAATTTATTGTGGTCTTCCATTTTTTCCCTCTCACTCATGGGGCTCCCCTTGAGGAGCACCCGAAGGCTCCAACTGGTCCAGAATGCAGTCACGTGAGTGATAATGGGGGCGACTCGTCGCTCCCATGTAACACCCCTCTTGCGCGAGCTGCACTGGCTCCTGGTGGTCTTCCGGGTGTGCTTCAAGGTGTTGGTTACCACCTTTAAAGCACTCCATGGCTTAGGACCTGGTTACTTACAGGACCGCATTCTGCCACCGTTTTCCTTTCACCGACCGACACACTCCCACAGAGAGGGCCTCCTCAGGGTGCCGTCGGCCAAAAAATGTCGACTGGCTACCCCCAGGGGAGAGCCTTCTCTGTGGGGGCTCCTGTCCTATGGAATGAATTGCCCCCAGACATACGAAGGATCCCTGACCTCTGCCCCTTCCGTCGTGCTCTGAAGATCCTATTATTTCAGCAAGCCGGTCTGACGGGATAAATGATTTTAAATTGGGTTTTAAATTGGATTTTAAATTGGGTTTTAAAAGTGGTTTAAAATGGTTTTAATTGGAAGTTTTAATTTTGGCCAAAGTTTGAATTGTTTTAATATGTTTTTTAAATTTTGTCTTGTATGTTGTTTTATCATGGCTGTTCACCACCCTGAGTCCTTCAGGAGAAGGGCGGTATATAAATATAATAAAACTAAACTAAACTAAACTAAACTCATGATGTTCAAGAGACAAAGAATGGTTGGCTGCAGGATGAAATTAAAAACATCTTTTAAATAAGAAAATGATACTATTTTCTTTTTAACCATTAGCTAGCTTTATCATAGGAACATGTGTTGACCTATGAAAAAGCTGAATTAAGGCTATAGTAAACAGAAACAAGGTTAGGGTAAATGTGATCTGGATTAGCAGTTGTAAGAGGGATCTTTTATCTCTCTCTCTGTCATGACACACTCAGATAATGCCAGGATCAGATAAAATTAAGCTACAAGGCACAAATCCTGTGTCCAATGGTGGGATTCAGCTGGTTCGCACCTATTCACGAGAACTGGTTGTTAACTTTCTAAGTGGTTCGGAGAACCGGTTGTTGGAAGAAATCTCCTTTTGTTTTTTCCCACTTTACAGAGCTAATCCTGTAAGGAAGGCAGGAAGGAAACATTCTGGTGTTGTTTGCAGCCTCATTTTTATTGCCTTGTTTACAGAAACTGCCTCTCCAGTTAACCCTTATTACGTTGTGACAGCTAAAGGTTCTTGGCAGTACGCCCAGACTTACTGTCGCCTGAGCTTCTCTGGAGTTTTTTTTTCATTTGCTGTACTTTGCTTTGCTTTATTAGGGGCTTGACTTTCTTAAAGGGGAAGGGTTTGATCTCTGTTCCTGAAAAGAAGCAGGGTTGAGAAATCTGGTAGTTGATTTAAGAAGCAACAACTACTGTGTTTGATCTTTTGCTACATTCTAATCCTAATTGCACTGTTTGTAGTTAGGCTTATCTCAAATGTTTACACTTGAGCTTGCCTGGGGTGTGAGCTCTGGCAATGAGCCAGACAAAGCTTGTGTTTTAGTTTTAAAAGGATTTAAACTGTTGTAATTTAATTATTTGTATTGTGTTTGATTTTTTTTCCTGCTTTATGGTTTCTTTTTCTATCTGGGAAGGGGGGGGGTCTTCCTTCACTGCTTTAGTGGTTCCTGGCACTGTCCTTTTGGGATGTACTTCCAAGATGCAGATGCAAGCTTGGCACTGATTTCTTTACTGCCTTTCTGGGGGCATGTGATCTTTCCTTAAATATGGATGATTTCCTTAGGATAGCTTGTGAGGTGAATGAGACCACTCTGCTAAAGGATATCTGACCTCTCTGCTAAAGGGTTTCACTTTATGAATAAGAGTTGTCTGCTAATAATTATCATTGCATTTTAACTATTTTAGTTCCTCAAGGTGCTCTGGCACCCTGCCTGATTTGTAACTCCGGCTTGCAGATATTTCTAATCTAATGATTGGTATTTAGGGCAGCTTTTTGCAAGCAAAGAAGCATTTTGTATTTTTGTACAGGTAATCCTTCACTTACAACAGTTCATTTAGTGATCCTTCAAAATTACAATGGCATTGAAAAAAGTGACTTACAGTATGACCATTTTTCACACACAACTGTTGCAGCTTCTCCATGGTCATGAGAGGCCAGGTGAGGTGAAGCATCCCTTGATGTGAATGATGTCAAGTTGGCCATACCCACCCAGTTACATGATCATCCAGCCATGCCTACCCAGCTGGTCATTAGGGCAGAAAACTGGTTGTTAAATTATTTGAATCCCACCACTGCCTGTGTCCCATATGTAACCATCCTATTGATGTAAATGGGATAACTTTACCTGGAAATTCATATGCCTGTCCTTTTGTTCATTATGCATTTGTAAATAAAGCCGTACTTTTTGTGCATGCCTTTTGCCCTGAAAAGCAAAAGTATCAATTTTATGTCAAAGCAAGCCTTCAAAAATGTGTAAAAACAATTGTATAAAGATAGACATCATCTAGGAGCAGAGCCTTTAAGATGAAATTTTGGTACCCAATGATTTACAGCTAGATTGCTGTCACCCAGTGACTGCTGGGTGCTGTAGTGGAGACTATTAATAGAAGCATAGCTATGGCAACATATTATACCAGTTTCTAATTACAAAATTATTTGTCAGTTTATAATGGAGGGTTATGCAGTTCGACATCTGACATGCCAAGTTGAGGATTATTTTATGTTTAGCACATATTGGGATTGATCAGCGCCACCTGTTGGTCTTCCTGTTCTAAGGGGCTGCCAGAAAGAAGAGGGAGTCAACCTATTCTCCAAAGCACCTGAGGGCAAGACAAGAAGCAATCAACGGAAACTAATCAAGGAGAGAAGCAAACTAGAACTAAGGAGAAATTTCTTGACAGCGAGAACAATGAATCAGTGGAACGACTTGCCTTCAGAAGTTGTGAATGCTCCAACACTGGATGTTTTTAAGAAGAGATTGGACAAGCATTTGTCTGAAATGGTAGGGTTTCCTGTTTGAGAAGGGGGTTGGACTAGAAGAACTCCAAGGTCCCTTCTAACTCTGTTATTCTGTTATATTATTAACTAGCTGATAACACAGAGTTGTCCAGGTATTTATTTATCACTGGCTCCCCCCTCTCTGTCTCTGTCTCTCTCTGTCTCTCTCTCCCCACCCTGTATCTCTCTCTATGTCTCTCTCTCTCCCCCTATCTCCCCTACTCTTTGTATCTGTCTCTGTCTCTCTCCCCTTCTCTGTCTCTCTCTCTCCTCCTCTCTGTATCTCTCTCTGTGTCTCTCCCCCCTCTCTGAATCTCTCTCTCTCTTTGTGTGTGTGCCTCTCTCTCTCTGTATCTCTCCCCCCGCCACTCTGATTCTGATATGAGGCATCGGGCAGGCCATGAGGCACTCTCGCAGGGCCTTGCGCAGCAATGAACTTTGGCGTGCTTCACAATGGAGGAGATGGGGTCCTCTCCTCCTCCTGGAGCCCATTACGACGTGGAGCAGCAATGCGATCCTGCCCTACTCGCCCCTAGCAACAGAACGCAGCTTACAGAACTGAGCCCAAAGTGGTGGGAGGGTTGCCTTGAGTACAATGAAGGCAAGTACAGTGTTGCTTCGCTCCTGCACTAAAGCTCTGGCCATCACCTTGCTGTGTCCCCCCCCACCCCTCCCAGCTCTTCGGCTGAGCGTGGTGTGCATGAGCTCCAGCCTGAAGGGGCAGGAGGCAAAGGATGCTTTGAGCACAAATGTGGCGCAAAGGCAACTATAGAGCCGCTTCGCTCCTGCACTAAGGCTCTGGCGGCCATCCTTCTCCTCCCCCTCCTTCTGCTTTTGTGACCCCTGGCCAGTTGTGGAAGAGCCAGGAGGGTGCACTGTTTCCATGGCAACTCTACTGTGCTGTACAGTAGAAGCCATTTTAAGGCAGTACAGTAGAAGCCATTTTAAGGCACAACAGGCTGTTTCTTTAACAGAACACACACTCCGAGAGTGTTAGGGGTGTCTTACCCCCACAATATTTGTTTCCAGGGAGTAAGTCATCTGTGTACCAAGTTTGGTTGAAATTGCTCAAGGTTTTCCAGAGTTATGCTGGAATATATACACACACATCCATTTTTATATATAGATTTTTGCTACTTTTAAACTGTGTAAACTAACCTCAGTACTGTGAGTGTAGCAAAAGAGATAAATATTAATTTTTGAATTTTAAAAATAAGCAGATTTGTTTACTGCTACAGATTTTCAGACAACACTTAGGGTTCAACTGGTAAATTTTAGAGAAAGAAAGAATGTTTCAGAGGCTGGTTCCATATGATATCTAACAACTGGTTTGAACTTCATGGCTTTATTCTGGTAAGGCCACTGGACAAACTAAGGGAATAAATAAATATAGGTAGTCCTCAACTTACAATAGTTCATTTAGTGACAGTTCAAAGTTACATCAGCTTTGAAAGAAGGGTCTTATGATTGGTTTTCACATTTACTTATATTCCCATGGTCACGTGATCAAAATTCAGACATTTGGCAACTGACTCATATTTATGACAGTTGCAGTGTTCTGGAGTCATGTGACCACTTTGCAACTTTCTGACAAAGTCAATGGGGAAGCCAGATTCACTTAACAATTGTGTCACTAACTTAACAATTGCACTGATTTACTTAACAACTATTGCAAGAAAGGTTGTAAAATGGGCAAAATTCATTTAACAAATATCTCATTTAGCAACAGAAATTTTGGGCTCAGTTGTGGTCGTAAATTGAGGACTACCTATATCAGGTATGTTAAAAAAATTGTTTATGTGAGGCATTAAAAATATTCCAGATTAGAAGGCTTCTAAATCAAAGGCCAGCTTGATGAGATCTGTTGGGTAATGAAATGACTGCCAGTAGCTTTTTGTTTAATAGGTATCACAGTTCTTCAATGGATACAGTTAGGCTTTTTTTTAAAGAACACCTGATTCGTTTAAACAAGTATCTTAGTCAGTAAAAGGAGAATCCTCCATATTTAGGGAAACATGGGGTCACAAAATCTCATTGACATGTTCTATATTAAAGCTTACCTCATAGTGTGCTATTCGTTGCGATTCAAACTGCAGTATAGCCCCACAAACTTTACAGTAAGTGTCTGTGCAAAGTTCTTTTCTTGTCATCTCATCAAAAATATCTAAAATGAATGGTTATGGATATAATTGGTAACTAGAACAACGAGGGTATCTTATTTATTAAAAAAAAAACATTAGAAAGCTTAAATACAAGATGGTGCAATTTGTCCCCAAGAGTCGGTAGGGGTAACCTCTATATGCTTTCTGTTGAATGCTTTTATTGCTGATGTTTTTCCACATTCTTTAAAACAAACCAAGTGAGAATTGTGTCCTGCATGTGTTCTTTTTAGGAGGAGAAAAGTATTGGCTAATAACAGTTGTGCTGCTCTTTTTTCTGGGGTGACAGTATGGGATTAAGGAGAAACATGTGTAGAAGGCAGCCTGCCTCTTTTGCTCTTCTTCTACTGCAATATAAAATATCTCAAACCTTATATGATAGTAATAATAATCACAAATATTTCATAGTACTTTGAAGGAGAAATAAAACAAGACAACAGCTTAGTTTGCCTCTAAAAAAACATCCATCAAGCTCAATTTTATGCTGCCTAAATAAACTGAAAAAAAAAAAGCAAGGCAGAATTAAGGAAGCCATACTTTTGAAAAAATAATGAAAACAACATTGCATTATTTTGCTGTACGCTCTGCCTTTCTATATTGGTGTGCATGAACAGTAATGGGGCTTGCAGTGCAATGGCATATCATTGCTTTCATTATTTGACTTCCCTTGATTCGCCACCCTCCCAACCCTAATTAATTTTGAAGTGATTTATACATTGCCCTTCAATCATCCGTTAATGATGATGTCAAAATCATTATGCACTGATGGCAAATTACTTCAGCTTTGGAACTTAAAGTGGCACATATAGTCCATATTAAAGCAGTTCACTTAACCAAACTTCAAAAACAGAAAAAAAGGGGAGCCATGGTACAACTAGACGCTAAGACATAGAACTATGATAAGGGATAGTCATGCAGTGATCCAATTCCTAGAATGTTCACATGGTGAAGTTTCATACTACTCGAGTCCCACGGCAAGCACTTGTTTTACAATTTATCATTGTTTTGGCCTCTCATCAATTACTTATTAACATCTCTTTCTCTCATAGAGTAATTTCTGATCATACTCCAGTTCCAGGGATCAAACCAGAATCTGGGATTCTGCTTACTGTATGCATTTAATTTGTGCCTGTAAAAAATAACTCTACTCTGCCACAAGCACCTTTTATTATTTTGCATAGGTCACTCCAGCTCTTTTTTAATTTCTTCCAAACTATGGCTAGGATCAAGAGCTCTACATGTATGACGAACAGTAGCAATCCCAGAACACTCTGCAGAGGCAAACTTTCCTAGGTATCCTCTACTGGAAAACACGACTGCTGAATACTTACAGCCTGTGAGAGCAACTGAAAGCCGCAGGCTTTTTTACCTTAACATTTCTTAACATCTATCTTTCTTGTTTTCATCAGTTGAAGAAGCTGCTTCATGTGTGCTCTCATATACTGCAAAGAATCTTCTTCAGAGTACTTGCATAAACCCCTCAATGCAAAGGTGAAATCTAATTTTTTTCCCTACCAGTTCTGTGGGCGTGGCTTGGTGAGCGTGACAGGGGAAGGATACGGCAAAATCCCCATTTTAACAGAAATGGTATTTGCTGGTTCTCCGAACTATTCAAAATTTCCATTACCGGTTCTCCAGAACCTGTCAGAACCTGCTGGACTTCACTCCTGCCTCAAAGTACAACTATAGCAAATTCTAAGTAGAAAATTAAACTTCTGAATCAAAAATATGACAGTAAATGAAAGCTCTCACCTCCATAATAATAGTTTAAATAAATTAATAACCCATTTTAGAAAAGAGATTTTTTTAGAAGGCAGAACTAAATGGTATGGTAGTGGTGGATGAAATGCTTATTTCCCTTTCCCGTTCTTTAAATACCCAACTTTCTAAATGTGCAACAAAAAGTCCAGGTAGATAGAAATGTTTTCAAAGTATGAGATCTGTTTCATATTGATAAAACTCTTTCACAGAAAGGTTAGCAATAGAACTTTAAAGATTACAACACAACTACGGGTTGTTGTTATTATTCCTATCTTTTTTTAATGAGTTCAAGGGAGCTTGCATCATTCATCTTATCCTCACACAGCCATGTGAGGTAGGTTAAGACTATGCTATGATAGTGTGTTAAATAATGATTTAAGACCAAGAAGATCAGAATTCAGGTGTTCCATTAGCCTGAAGCTCAGCTGGTGTATTTGAGCCAATTACCTCCTCTCAGGCTAACATAGCTCAAAGTTCCTTGAGATTCTAGAGCAGGGGTGTCAAACTCATGTGATGTATTGGGAATTTCCCCCCTTTGTTAAACCAGAGGTGGGTATGGCTAGCAAGTGATGCATTTGGCCCGCGGGCTGTAAGTTTGACACCCCTGTTCTAGAGAATATGCAACATGCATATAGTATGTAATGAAATATTATGTTTATTTTATATCCTACCCTGTAAAAAACTATGGGAAATTGATATAAAATAGAATACCCAATAGTAAACATAGCCTTATATTTAAAACATCAAATCTCTAAGAAAACATTAAAACTGATTGCATATTGGGTATTAGTAAAATTTTAAAACATCTAGGTATTTTGGGGTAAAGACATTGGGATTTTGGGAGTTGTGATTGTAACCATATGATTGAAGCCCTACCTCTTTTTAATATGCACTGACATCTATTAGAGAAGGGCTGAAAACAGATTTAAATAAAGTTTGGAGATATTTGTTAATTCACCAGAAAGGAATGGTTATGTTCTAATTGATAGAGTCCTAACACTAATTCAATTTGTACCCAGAGACCATCATCTATGTTCCTAATAACATTGTCTTAGTTGAAAGACATCATAATATTTCAAACTTGGCATACCAACACCCCCACCCCTTATGCATTTAAATTCTACACAGTTTATCTAATTAGTGAATAGTGAAAAGATAGAAACTATTATCTGCTGCCCCAGAAGGATTTGTTCCTAGGACTTTCTCCTGATACACAGAAGATGCTGGAACTGTTTTGTAATGACTTTTCTTTTCTAGAATGAAACTTCTGTTCAGAAATTTTTATATTCTTGTGTGTCTGGTTAATTAGTTTCAGTTCAGCCTGCTACATAAAACCTGAGAGTATGTACCACAGCAGTTGGTGTACTTCAAAAATGATTCAGAATTTATGTTTGGGACCTTGTGTGAGCACTGCATCCCTCTGCTATTCATTAAAATAGCATGGTTTATTCATTTAAAATATACTGCTCAAAAAAATAAAGGGAACACAGGCAGAAGACATCTGAGATCTGAATGAATGAATGAAATATGTATGTTCGTTACATACAGTAGTTTATACACTGCTCAAACAACTAAAGGGAACACAAAACTACTGTATGTAATGAACAAAGTATTTAATAAGGCTATTTCATTCATTCAGATCTCGGATGTCTTCTGTTTATGTTCCTTTTATTTTTTTCAGCTGTGTATTTTATATTTTATCGTCTTTTAGTTCATCTTAAACAAGTATCTCTGGGTACCTAACAAAGAAAAAATGAAACCATTTTAATAAAAAATCTAAATAAAAAACAATATAAAATACAATAAAGAATACTCATAGCATCCAATGGGGTTGAAGCACCTCATATATTGGGCTTCAGTAATATCCTGGCAATAATGCCTGAGAAAAATGCCAACAGGGGGAAGGTCATCAGGCTCTTAGAGGAAAAGCTGTTTCAATTTGAGATTAACTTCTGAACCCTTTATAGCATAAAATTTCTTTAACTCAAAATATTACTGGGGTATCTATTTGAATATATATCTATATTTATATGATTAATTACAGAAGTACATTTCCATGAAGTCATTATTTCATAGGGCAATATCCTGTGATCTCAGGATACTAACTCAGAAGTTTAGGATCCCTCTTTGGGTCTAGCCAGAGAATTACATTGGAGGAAATCTAAGGTTACATTCTGTTTGACACTTCCTCCTAACTACCGGTAGATTTTTTTTTAGTGGAAGAAATATGTACAAGGAACATCTTGCAGATATTAAGTAGATCGATAGGGTATTAAAGTCTTGGATCACAGATAATTATGTCCTGAATGTGAGTAATATTTAGACAAGCTCACCAGGAAAGGATGGAAAAAAAACTATTTTTCTGTCCCCAGTGTGGCTGAAAATCTTGTTTTTTTTCTCCAACACTGGAGCTAGCTTCCCTGACATTCCTCCCTGACATTTTTTTTTTTTTTTGGTGCTTAGGACTCCTAACACTGCAAGCCCTGAAATTGCTAACTGTATTTTAAATATTGCATGGACACAGCATAAATATAGCCAGACACAGATGTCACTATGTACAACATGCAGTGGATGCTTAATAAAATATTAGAAGAGTATTACAGCATAATTTTAATACCAATGGGTAAATACTATTAGGGATTGTGTAAAACAAGCAAAAATATATTTTCACATATGTATTTCAGAATATCCATATCTTTGGTCACCTTTTCCTACATAATACATAGGATTTCAATTGGGATTATTTAATGGCAAATTTAATATACATTTCTCATTGTTGTCAGACAAATTTGTGCAGTATTTAATAAGTATTGAAAAACTTTTCAACAAATTTGAAATCTTTCACCAGCATATTTTTTAATTCAATGCTTTAGATCCTCAAATATTTGGAGAGGCAAAATATTTTATGTCACTTTAAACATCCATAGCCGTACTGGTGGTAAGCCAAGATACATATCTAATGTGTGTAAACATTATTATTTTTTACCTTTCTGTTTAAGCACATTCATTAAAGATTTTTTAAAAAATATTAACTTCATTTCAAGTAATTCAAATAAATGAGAGTGGATATTATACCCTATGGTCGCGATGGCGAACCTATGGCACATGTGCCACAGGTGGCACGTGTAGCCATATCAGTGGGCATGCGAGCTCAGCTTTGGCATGCATGTGCATGCCAGCCAGCTGATTTTTGGGCCTTCTGGGCCCACCAGAAGTAGGGAAACAGGTTGTTTCTTGCCTCTGG